TAGTTTCTTACCCATTTCCTAGAATAAAATTTGTTTCTTCTTCTCCTTCATCATCATCGTCATCATTGTCATCATCATCATCATCATTTTAAATCACAAGGAAGTGTCTTGAAATGGCTAGCTCATCTTACCTGGTACCCATCAGGAAGTATTTACTAAGCTCTTTTGGGGGCATATTACTCTCCTAGGTTAATGGAATAAAATAAATGAAGGATAACAAATAACTTCATTTTCTTCTTGCTACGACCTTAAAATTTAATGAATAATACAGTAATGTTAATTCATTGAAGTAATTTTAGAAGGTCATACATGCGATGAGATTATAAGGCCTTTCATGTATTTGTTCCCTGTGCTATCCCAGAAAAGTCTTTATTGATAAGGTTTAACTTTTTATTTATGAGGTTGTAAGAAGATGGAACAACCCCAGTGTCTCCATGGAATTTTGGTTTAAAAAATGATTTTCTCCAGCTTTTCCTCAAAAGTCTATCCTAAAAATCTATGAACTCCTGAGCTTATTTCTCTGTATATGCATTCATACTGCAAGATATATATTCTTTGACCCAGAAAATATTGCCATTTTAGGTTTAATCTCTAAAGATCAAAGTTGTTAGTGTAACTGGTGACAAAACAGAAACAGATTGAGATCTTAGCCTTTCTTAGTCTTGATATTCCTGTGGTCTTTGTCTCTAGGTCAGTGTAAGTTCCCGCCAAGTTATCCTTTTGCTAAGCCTAAAGTTCAGAGTGATCAGTCTGAGTTTGCTGTTGGGACAATTTGGGAATATGAATGTCTTCCTGGGTATAAGAAGAAGTCATTCTCTATCACCTGCCTAAAGACCTCCAAATGGTCAAATACTCAGCAATTCTGTGAACGTGAGTAATCTGTAATAGAGGAATCTTTGGATCTATAACATGTCTCTATGGGCTAACCTGTTATTTTCAAGATAAAATATGAGCAAATTTTATCTCAGTGATAACTCAATAAAGGGGCTCTTGGGTTCCCATGTTTTCTTTTACTCCTAAGAGTATTGGGTATTGGGGTTAAGTCATCAGAGCTGATCAACTCTGTTTATCCTATCATCTCCTTGACCTTGTTCTATGGTTTCTGTACTGTGTTAGTGTGAGCTAAGAAGTTAGTATACAAGGAATGCTAGTTTCACCTCATTATCACCCCATTCAATTCAAAGAAATATTTTTGAGTAACCACTAGATATGAAACATTAGGCTAGATGATGGGACTAGGGAGAGACATAAAAATTAATCAGCTAGTTTCTGTGCTTGAGGAACTCCTCTGCTAGTTATAAATACTGACTTTAAACATATACTGTGCTATGATGTATTTTTTTTATTTGTAG